TCCACTGGGGGTAGTTAGTGCCAGACAAGGGATGGAACTTGGGATCAGAGTCAGACATGATGGGTGTTGTATAAGACGATAGAGCAAAGATAAATGATGTAGGAGACGGCTATAGGCGATGAAACAGTGGCAAAGACAATGGGTAACAGTAGGAGGTGAGCAGATAAGATGGTGAGGCGGTAGAGAGAGGATATGGAGAGGGTCAGAAAGCGCAAGGATAGGTCCAAATAGGGTCCAAAAAGCGTCCAAAAGCGATCCAGGAGGGTGCTAAGGCTTCCTAGTGCTGCTACAGGGTTACGCCTGTGTTCCCCTTTCAATTCCACACTGATATTAACAGAGAAATCGCCTCGAGACAGTGTTGGTTAATAGGGCTTGTATATGAGTCAACAAAGTGACTTAAGCTCCCGAAATTGATGCAGAGACAGATAAGATGGATGGATTGCCACCAAATCAGAGGTATAGGGAACATTTTTATAGAGTAATAGATGGCCCAAATATCACAAGAAGTGAAGCACAGGATGTGGAGATATGCAATAGGGGTCCAATAGGGGTGAAAGTGCCAAAAATGCGAACTTCACAGAGGATGATGGAGTGGATGGATTGCCCCCAAATTGAGGGTGTAAAGTGCAATAGTATAGGGTAGTAGATGGCTCAAATAGGGCCAAGATCCGAGCACAGGATGTGGAGATATGGAATAGGGGGCCAAAAGGTGATCAAATGATGATGAAGGCTCACAGAAAGATCCAGCTCAAATTCAACCGCTCTGACAGGTCTCCTAGGGTTATTTAGGCCATAGAAGACGATGGTAGAAGTTACAGGACAATCAGACAAGGATTGGGCGAGATATGGTGCAGATAAGACCAAAAAAGTGTCCGAAATGGGGGTAACTTGCAACAAGGAGTTGTTGTTGGAGATCAAGATGAGATCAGAGTAATCTGAGGTGATGGATGAGATAATAAGAGTCCCAGAAGACAATGGTTACGATGGATAAGCAGTAGGATGCTTGGATGGTGAGATATGAGGGCAGGAAGATGGCTAGAGCACAGGGCTCATAACCTGATAAAATTGGATAATGACCAGACCAGGGATTGAACCTGGAACCTTCTGGATACATGCCAGCTGCTCTACCAATTGAGCTATATGGCCAAGGTTATACAATGTAGGATCTTAAACATGACATGCAACCACGGACATCTTACACAGGATAGCTGCTGCATACTGGGCTGGCTTACAAATCAGAGGTATTATCCTATGGAGTATTGGTATGTCAGAGTATATTCTAACACTCCCTCCTGATCTGACATATCCATATATGGTAAGTGTATAAACATAGCCAAACATGTAAGAATGACTAAGCTCATACAATAGCACAATAAAGCACCAGGGCTCATAACCTATTAAGAACAAAGCTTGAAGGAAGTGTCTAGCCACTTGCTGAGAGCAATCAGGGACTAGAGTCCAATGTGAGTAACTATATTATTAGAGAGTATGACAGGTATACAGTACCTAGAGTCCAATGTGAGTAAATAGAGAATAGGAAGCATTGGACTTTGCAGTACTGTCCGAAGTTTTGTAAACAAAGGTAAACAAAGCAGCCACAAAGGCGAAATAATAGAGAACACAATCAATAGTGAATGATAGAAGAATAGATAGAGAAAGGAATGAAAATATATAGGTAGCACAAAGGTGCAGAATCACCAAAACTAACAGTTATACACCATGGCTTGTGGGCCTCAAAACTTGACTGTTGGCGCATAGAAGCACATAGCCGCAATCGGGCGTGGACAACATTGGAGATGTTTGCGAGGAGTCAGCCAACCTGGGACCTAGTGATGGAGATATTGCGAGGGATTGTGAAGAAAACTATTGCGGGCTCAGATAAGATCAGTGCAGGCCGCAAAAGACCTGATGTTGTCCGACACAGCTATTTTTTTTGTTGAAACCTGCCCCCTTCTTTTCTTTTCTGCAGGTCCATTTTTGTCACTTTTTCTCTTTCTCTTTCTAGAGCGTTTTTCTTTCATTTTTTCAGCACTGGCCCGATATAAGTCAAAGTGTTTAGCTTCAATGAGATATATTCCAGTTGCTTCAACAGAGGGATGTTGTGCAGCCTGTCCTATCCGCTGGAAGAGCGTACAAAGTGACTTTGTATATTTCCACTGAATAACCAAGCCCACATCCCGGATGTCAAGGCCCTGTCCTTTAAATGTCAGTCACTTTATTGATTATGCTTAGTAGCTAAAACTTGCCATTCCAGCTGTGTCTGTACAACAGATGCCCCAAATCTCTCCTTTTTGCAGCCTATCCATAGTTTTTTGCCGGAACTGTGCACTCATTCCTGAATGAAACCAAACAATTTTGTTTTGTTGATGAGCAGGGTACCGGCTTTGCAGGTAAGTCACTATTCTCTCTGTTTCCTTGCGGGAATCACTAAAAACCATAAACTTCTGAGATGGCTTTTCACCATCAATTGCAAGTACCCACTCTAAGTCATAAAGCGTCTTTGCAGGGTATTGTATTTCTTCTACCATGAGGTGAATATTCGGGTGATCACATGAACGCACAACTTGAACTACATTATTTTCTCTGATTTGTAGCTTTTACAACTCCGATTGATGTTCCCCGGACGTTGGTCACGACCTGCTTGATTTGAGTGGAAGGAGCGGAGGGGCAAATAGGGCCAAATCTGGCGCCACTATAAATTGTGCCAGTCGGCTATGTGTGTTATGCTCAACTCAAGTTTTGGTAAATTTTTGGATAATTATACAATCAGATTATATAATCACTAAACACTAGGATGTAGCATATACACACATCTGTCGACTGGTTTGAGTCTGTTTCAACTCCTGGTTGAGTCTCTCTATTTGTCCATCTGTTTGTGGAGGAACACCGTTGATAACTTAGGTTTGATGCCCAGCATTTGGCATAGTTCTTTTGTAAATTTGCTAGTGAAATGAAGTCCCCTATTTGAGATAGCCATGTCTGGCAACCCATGAATAGACCGTACAAAATCTTTAAATAAATCTGCTGTACCAGCGGCTGTAATAGTTTTATTGGTGAGAATGAAGACTACTTATTTGGAGAAGTGATCTACAACCACTATTATTGAATTGTACCTGTTTGACTTGGGCAGATCCATTGTGAAATCAACCAATATATCCTGCCAGGGACCAGCTGGTATTGGATTTGGCACAAGTTTACCGGCTGGCGGTTGATGAGAGTTCTTTGCCATGGCACATCTCAGACAGGATTTTACATACTCCTGTACGTCTTTGACCATGCCAGGCCACATGTAGTGCCTGAGATCAACTCCATTGTCCATTGCCACGCAGGGTGCCCAGCTACTGGGTGTTTATCTATTGCCTTGATCCTTGTATGCTCAGGCACATGGATTTTTTTTTAAAATGAAAGATCCCGTCTTTCCATAAATAATATTTATTGCCATCAAGGTGTGCTTTTTCTTCTGATGAGATGTTTTTCTTGAAGATTTCTGGAAGATTGGAATCCTGCCCAATTTGAATATTGGCAACCCTGGATTGATCTATCAGGGTAACACTCTTGATGTCATTGGCATAATCTTCTCTTCCAGACAAAGCATCCGCTTTTCCCATAAAAGTTCCTGGTTTATGAATTGATTTGTAATTAAACCTTGACAAGTATACCATGCAGTAGGCCTGTCTTTGGTTCAAGTCCCGAGCTGCTATAAAATACTCCAGATTTTTATCATCAGTGAAGATTTCAAATTGGTGCCTAGCACCTTCTAAGTAGTGCTGCCAGTGCTCTAGAGCTCTAATGATGGCCAGCATCTCTTTGTTGTAGATTTGATAATTGCACTCTGTAGGCAACAAACTATGCAATATATAGGCACAAAGCATCCAATGATCGTCAGGGCAACTAATTAACAGAACAGCCCCAGTAACAAAATCAGAAGAGTTGGCTCCTAGCCAGAACTCTTTGTCTAATCCTGGAAATGCTAATATGGGCACTGTTATAAATGCCTGTTTAAGTCTATCAAAAGCTTCTTGTTCTTTGGTGCCCTAATGCCTAACAATGTCCTTTTTTGTGAGATCATTCAACAGTCTCATTATCTTTGTGAAGTTTTTGACAGATTTTTGGTAGAAGTTGCCTAAGCCAAGGAAGGCCCTAACTCCTTTGACGCAAGTAGGTTCTGGCCAATTCAATGTAGCTTGAACTTTCTCAGGGTCCATCCTGATTCAGGTCTGGCCTATTATCATACTAAGGAAGTTCATCAGGAAAGATGGGGGTAGCTATATAGAGCTCTATAGCACTATAAGTACTCATAAAGCTGTTATAGTGGTCAAACCTGTTATAGAACCTCTGCCATCTATAGAGCCTCATATAGCTCTATAAATGCTCTTATAGATGTTGGAAATTGTTGTGTGGCTGATTGAAAAAAATTAACACAGACAGGATTTGAACTCTCAATCTGCTAGTCAGCTTTTTGGTGACTAAGCAACCTATAGCTACACATCACATTTATCCACTACACCATGAAAGCTTATAAAATGTATCATACAGGTGTTATATATTGACCTTTCATGGACTTAGATTATTTTTTTACTCATTGTCACTACTTATATTTGGATAAATCGTTATTCTTATTTTGTGAGTATCAGGGATACAAACTACTATTTCACTAATACAAGCTATATAATTAATTAATACTGGATGATTTATTAGCCCTTTTAAGCACCTTGAACTATATTATAACTATGACCTTTGCAGCTATAGGAGCTATATAGGCTGCTATAGGCTATAAAAGCACTTATAGTACCTTGCCTATAATAATATACTTGACTCCAAACACTTCTGGCCTCTTTCTATTATTGAACAAGTTTATCAGATTAATCCAGAGTTTGAGGGAATTGTAGATACTTCTCCCCTTGGTTAAATTTTTGCCTACTACTGTGCTATAAGAGCTATAAGAGCTATGATTGCACTGATAGTACTATAGTTTCTATGAATGCATTTATATATATAGATGGTGGCTATATAGCACTATATAGCAAAAGGGTTTTTCCTGATGGCCAAGTCTATTTCCTTCACTTTAAAATTAAATTTTTTGAGTTTGACAAATAGGTCCTGTTCCTGTAAGTGTCAAAGGACTTCTTGCACAATCCTGTCATGCTCAGCCTCATCGTCCAACTTTGTAAATGTTAAGAAAATGGTCAATGTAAATGATAACACACTTTTCCATATCCACAAAATTTTCATTTATCATGCTCTGGAAGGTCGCTGGTGAATTGGTCAACCCAAAGAACATGACAAGGGGTTCAAAGGATCCTCAGTGGCACGTGAGCCTTCCAAGCATCTTCTTCTTTGATGAGTACATTGTTGTACCCCCATCTGAAATCTGTCTTTGTTAAGGTCTTGGTGTCAGCCAAATTGTCTACTAGCTGACTGATTAAAGGCAGTGGATATTTATTTTTAACTGTGTACTCATTACCATCCTTTTAATGGATGTAAAACACCGGGGATGTCTTAGGGCTCTTGGAAGGTCTGATGTAACCCTTTCATAGCTGCTTGTCTATGAAACTAGAACCCTCATCTCTTTCTGGAGCAGAGATGGGAATCATATGGTCCTTTCTCGGCTTGAGGGTGTCCTTCAAATCTATAGCATGGTCCCAAGGCTTAGCCTCTGGGAAACACTCTGATTTATGTTTTGAAATGACTTTCCAGAAGTTATGGTACTCTGGAGGCACCATCTTTTTAATCTCTTCCTCAGGCTTTACCTCGTCATTGTCATTGTCAACCTTATCTAAAGATCTGAGTTTGGCATAAACGTGACAAGCGTTTATCTTTTCTTCAGTCCCAGTTTGACGGATGTGACTTAGCTTACCCAAGTCATTACACTCCTGAGGGCAATGTGACAATGTGACAACCCCTGTCTGCCAGTCAATCTCAAATTTGTGTTTAAATAGCAGGTCCAGCCTAAAATTAAATTAATTTTCCCTAGTTGGGTAGCCTTGGCGGTGACTCGTTCTCTGTGTCCTTGGTACTTGACAATAAAAGAACATTTGTGCATTATGCAGCCACCCATGTTTAGTGTACCATCAATGTTATAGACGGGAATAGACATATCTAATTTTACAAGGGGGAGTCCATTTTGCTCCGCCCAGACCTGGTCTATGAAAACACTGTTGGCATCTGAATCAAGCAGTGCACTGGTTGGGTGTACTATGCCTGGGCAAGGTCTTCCACACCAACATCTAAATGAATCCCTTTTTGGAATAAATATGTGCACATTAACACACACCTTGGGATTTTGGTGGAAAGTGACTCCAAAGAAGAAGAAGAACTAAAAAAAAACATGTTTTTTACTTTCAATTTTTTTATATTCTTTTTTTTACCAGAATCAAGCACCCTAGTAGTTATCTTGCCGGGGCCATGCTCCTGGGGAGATGCTGGTGCAGCAGTAATATCACAAGTATTACAGTCACATTTCTGAATACAAGTACATACTTCAGATAATAAGTTAAAAATTTTATTTACAAAATGGGGAGCCACCCCCTTTCCTTTATTGCTCGTGCAACACCCTGGAGCAGGGGCCACCTTGTTGTGGTTTGCTTCATTGTTTTTAAGAGTGAAGGCACCCAAGTGATCTAAGCTCTGAGTTCTTTTCCCTGGGCCTTCATTTCAGCAACCTGTTGGTCATAAAAGAAGGCCCGGACTTTGTCATACAAACGACCAGCCACAGTTGTAGTAGTTGCCCTTGAATCTGTGCATCTGTCTGCCCTGGACCACACTAATATCCATAGGAGCACCCGGTCCTGGCTGCAGCCCAAACAGCTTGAACCCGTGAGAGTGATTGTTGTTTTGGTTTGATGACCCAGGGTGCCTCTGGGAAAAGTTGTTTGTGGTGGTGGTCCCGCCACCAAATTGCATTTTGTAGAGCTCCATGGCCCTACCAATTTTGCAGACCTCTTCTGCTGCTTGCCAGAGGTTCTCGCTTCTCATATCCTGCAGATAGAGCTGTTCTGCAATGTGAGGGGCCACATTGTGTTCCAGCAGATCCACTGCATGTTCATTTCCAAAACTTCCTTGGATGGAGAGGACCAGGAACAGGCATCTGTCATCATGTTTCCTTGTTTGAAGGAACAGATTTGCTGACACACCCAGTCATGCTCAGCTTGGGGTTTGAAATATCTTTCAATTTCAATCTTGAGTTCCTCCCAAGTAGGCCAGTGACCAGCAGTATAGCACCCTTGGAGTCTAACTTGGGCATATTAACCTGCCACAGGTCTTTTGAGCCTTGACAGCACAGCTATTGCTATTCAAAATCATCTGAAAAGACATCTCAATTTGCCTTGATCCAGATTTGGAGCTTGATCCACCATTTGGAAAATTTAGCCTGATCTCCCTCAAAAGCACTGGGATCAGCAACAATTTCAACTTTCTTGTTTAATTTTTTGTTCAATGGTTCCAGCACTTTGGTTTGCCTGGATTTCTTCTAGTTGTGCGGTGAGATTTGTAATCTTCTCCCACATTTGGTAAGGGACAGTATTAACATCCACTGTTTGTACTTGCACTGACATGGCGACTTGTTTGATTTAGTGATGTAAAGTAAAAAAAATGTAACAGGGGGTCCCCGCTTGCTATCTGCAGATCTACCCCTTCCCTGCTGGATATTGGATCTCAATCTCTGACTACCCACACTATAGTAATTGAAATTTTATATAAAAGGTAAATGTAGTAAACCCTGGTCCAAATGGTTGTCAGGGGGTGGTCCACTTGTTAAGCTGTCAACCCTTCTCCAGACTGGCAAAGGCAAGTAAGTGCCCAGCCTGGTCAGAGGAATGCAAAAAAGGAGTTTTGTATGTAAATCTAATCAACAATAGTTCCACACCACCGTTGAGCTATAGTACTCCCCTTGACACTGGGGGCTGTGTAATGTTTGGTTTGATTCTCTCTAGTACCCCGTCCTCAGGAGCTCGCCTGTAGGATTGGGACACACACTTGGTTTCCACTGGCTAGCAAATGCTAAATACCAGTCTGGCACCCAAGTCTTACTGTTTGAAAGATGTCCACTTAACCCTGTGGTCCAAGTTTGCACAAAGTGTGAGAGAGTAGAAAGAGCAAGTCCTAATGTTACAACCAATGTTTTGATATTCTGGCGCACAACTTAGACAGGCAAGAGTGAAGAAGGTAGGAGTGGCTAAACCCCTTAGGATAGGACCAAGTTAGTTGTGGGTATACAACAGGAGGACTGCTGAGGAGTCTCCTGGGTCTATTGGGGTATTTATTTGTACATATTGTACTATACAGTTGATAAAGCAGTGGCTGATGATGTCATAGGGCACAGCCCATGTGACCAGCTCCATCGCATGAGAGACTTGTATCTAAACATGAAGAAAGTAGCGCAGCACGAGAAAGTAAGGATAGAGGGAGTTTGAAAATAAAAGGAAAGTGCCGCATGTCACAAAAGAGAAAGAAGGTTGAAACGGAGGATGAAAGTTAAAGGTACAAAAATTGTGCATCCTAACAATGCCTCTGAAGTTTCACCAACGAATGATGACATGAATAACAAACTTCCAGGTAGCCCAGTTGCATAATATCTTCATTGATCCTTCAAGGGCTCTGAAATCAAGGAAGTGTTGGAGTTGGAAAGAAAGTATAATTAGGAAGGAGTTTCCCATGCAAGCAGAAAATCCTGCGTACATGGAAATAAACTGAGTTAATTATCATTTGGCTGAGCACAGATTTACTACAGGAAGGCATGGTGATACACATCAAAGTCATAAGTACTTGGATGTATCACAGTTGGCAGACAAAGATTTTGTAGCAACTCCAAACATATAGACGAAGCGTGTAAGAGAGGCTTGAACAATGCTGTGCAAACATACTGCACAAGGAAAATATTTGCTCATATCCCATCTGACCTTGTGACTCTTTGATAATAAGCTTGCACAAATCATCGGAAGCAAGCTGTGGAAAATAGTCATTGTCAGCTGCATAATGTGTGTGGCACTGGTGATGTCTAGATTCTCGCAAGGAAAAAAGTTATATTGCATGCTCGTTGGCAGGATCAACAGCTTCCGCAGGTTCTTCAATTTGAATGGCCCGGGAATGCAGAGTGCAATCTCTCTGTAAAGCTTCAAAAACAAATTACCAAGGTAAACACTGCGACTGGCAAACATGATTCTGTAAATCACAAAACATCCATTGTTTCTTGTCCCTGGAGCGGAAAGTAATGCCATGTATCACAGCGATAGTACAAAGGTCTGCAACCCTTAAAAATTGGTGGAATGATTCGACCCTCAGTCCAAAAGTCGCGAGGGTGTATCTGTTGTGCAAGAAGCACATCATGGAACTTGGTTGTAATCGATAGGAATTAATTATTATCTCTCAAAACGGTAGTACTGTCAACACATTTGCAAAGCGCTGTAAGCTTCACAAGAGTACTCATAAGAATTCCATCGGTCTTTGAGAGGCGTCACCTCCAGCTTCATCATATACCACTCCAGCTATACGGAATGCTAGTTCTGTGGAAATGAGAGAAAGTTACTTCATATGAATTAATGCCTTACCATCAGCTTGCTGCTTAGTAGCTGCTTCTGCATACACGCGGACTACATCTTCTGTGCCACTCGGCCTTACAAATGACCGTCCACTGTCATATTTATGCGACAAATCATTGATTTTCTCTTGTAGCCCAGGTGGGCTGACCAATCGCCGTTCCGCGTCCTCCGTCTTGAAGATATTTCTATCTTCTACCAGAACCTTCACAAGACGATTGGGTAGATCAGTATATAGGGAGTCCCACTCAACACAGCCGTATGACCTATGGGCGAGGACAACCTCCACGAGTAACATATCCGAAAGTGCATCTCCAACGGTTTGATTAATCAACTGGGCCAAATTAATCAAATGATTAATTGCTATTGACTGCGCAAGGGTCGAGGGTTGACAGCCAGAAAGTATATTCTGGATTTGTTGGGAGAACAGGACAGTACCGTGACCATTTGCCTCGAAATATATGCCCACGTCATAATGCTCAGCTGCGTGATGGAGATGTTTTACACCAGTTGAGACACACTTCACAGGCAAGCGCTACCAATAATTTATTAGTAGTCTTTCTCATAAATCATACATTAGACAACTCACAGTGGAGAGGTATTTGGTTGAGCTGCCGTTTGCATATGCCGTCTGCACAACGCCAATTTTGATTCGATTTTCAAGACCAGCAGCTTTGACAAGTTCAACGATAAAACTGGCAACAAGTGCTGCAATTTTGTCTCCATCTAGCATGTGGTATTGGCCTCGACTGTCTAGATAGTAATACATCAACCGATCCGCATCACCATCAAGACTGCATGCGCGCTGTCCTGGTTGAAGAACAGTCATCAAAGAAGGAGGTATCTTCTGAGTAGTCTTGATGTAATCTGCACCACAAAGGTTATTTAATGCACCCGGGTTGTCAATGGCTGTATTGGTCAAAAGCATTGGCATGGAGGCGGCAAGGTATTGAGCGAGCTTTGCGGCAATCGGAGCACCCACACCATTGGCGCAGTCAATCACTAAAGGTGAAGGCGTGGGTTTTCCTAGCTATCATTGTGTAAAGGTAAATAAAAAAAAGTTCGCCATTTACGACATAGCTCACCAGGAGTTTCTTGAATGCCTCGCTGAGCTTGGTAAAATATCCATGTTCTGAGTCGTCGCCGAAACATTCTTCGGTGCCCTTCGTATTTATAGCTTTGACAAGATAATGTAGAATAGGGGTCGTGGTGATACCAGCATTTCTTGCTTCGGCCCCGATAGCTGCAAAACCATCCTCGAGAGCAGCCACCAGGGCAGGGCCTGAAGGGCGCGTGTCCCGAGCGTAGACAACTCTAGCAGGCTTCGACAAGTCTATTTTTTCAGCTTCGACGAACTCTTCGAGAGTAGATAAAAACATTTCGGTAGTGGATGAATTAGCCAGGGTTGTAGCGTATACCTCCCAGGACGAATCAAGCATTTCTCCGCGTGGATCGACCATTTTCACACCGTTATCCTGAATCCCGATGATATAAGATGAACAACTCTTAATTTTATATACATACCGTTTCGGGGTTATGAGATGCTGTTACCATAATGCCTACAGTTTTGCCATCCATTTTCTTGCTTCGAAGGCCAGCTAGAATACCAACCCTGAACAGAACAGAATCGAGCACTTTCCCACTTCAATGTACAAAACCAATAGTCAGGAACAAATCTGATTGGGAATATGTAAAACTCATACGGCATTCTGAACCCTGCAGTTCCATAATTAAAATAAGCGGGATAAAGCTTAGGGTGAAGATCTGAGAAGAGTGTGATCTTTCCCAATGGTAGTGAATTCATCTTCGGTGTAGACAGAATGAGTGCAAGAAGCGGGGAATTTCCAGTCAACCAACTGTGAGAAGTGACATTACCCGGCGGAGTTGGCATCAGCGGGCGGAGTTGATATCTACAAGGCCCCCTATTCCTGGTCCCTCAGTGACCAGGTTTGATAGATAGCATTCCTCGTCGCAAATTGTATAGGACCGTCTTCCGGTTTGTCCTTGTTTACAATATGTCCTTTTTTCATTTTTGTACCCTTCTCTTATCACTATCGATAATCGCTCTCCAAGTAGTCGACTACTACACTCCATCTCACTATCCTTCACCCAATCGTTCAACGGTCGTGTCTTTCTAGGTCGTGATCTGGTCGTGATCTTTATGATTCACTCACTGGTGGTGTCTGAAACTGAAGGTGATGTTGAGGGGGAAATCACAAGTGCACGTCTCAACCAGTGGTTTGCGTTTTCTTGTGTGTTTGATGGAGAGGAACTCCCTACACTATCCCGCTATCCCATTGGACGTATGCTGATTGTACAGGTCCTTTCTCTGACTCACTAGACAATTATACTTATCTGACTTGTTCACAATTGCGATCCATTGCGGCAACCCATAACATCACTTCTATTTGTCGTGCTACCAAATCTGTGCTCCTCGCTTTACTACGTGATCATGCTTGTTCTCAGATCTGTTCCCCATGGCTCATATTTACCTTTCAAGTCATGATTCACCCTCGTACTCGTCTCCAAAACGCTCCGCCCGCCATCTCAATGCATGAAGCCTTGCGAGAGCACCTTGGTGCGTTGGACAGAGAATCGGAACTGCAAAGATTAACATATGCACGTCAACACACACACAATGTCGCTGATACTGCTAACTTTCCTTGGATCGCTACACAACAACAGAAACATGACATTATTTGTGCGTGGCAAACTCAATACGCTGTCGATGCGCTTACGAGGAAGACTTGTGCCGTTTGTGCTCGCAGGTTTGCGCCCACTCATATTCATGTTGTGCATGGCTCTGACGTTGACCTTCCCTCTTGACAAACTTTTTCCTCCCCCGTCGTGTGTTACCTAATAACTACGACTTTGCGTTATACAACGAGGCAATCTTACACGTCAATGGGCTCCACACCCCTTGGTTACTTGGTGACATCCACGTTTGTGGGAGTTGTCGGCACAGCCTGCTTCATAACAATAAGCAGCCAAAAGATGCTTTTGCAAACTTTCAATATTATGGCCATCAATGTATACCTGTTACAGAACGTAATGCATTTTCTGCTGCCAGTATGTTTGGTAAAAGCATTGGTATCTCGCGCACGTGCAACCGTTCATTCCTATCTATTTTCAGACAAAACCTTTCATGGCGATCCTACCGCATCCCAACATTACGTCCGAGGCAATGTTGCTATCATCCCTCAAGACTCTGTTCACTTACGACAGGTCTTGCCCCCTTCCTCCGAAGACATTGTGAAAGCTGTTTGTACTGTTTTTGTAGGAAAGGATTCCGTTGTCAGTAGAGCAAATGTTGCCAAGATTAGCCCCATATTATGCAGTAAACATAATGTTCAAATTATGATTCAATTTTTGGTCGCAAATAACCCGTGGTACAGAGTGGGTTTCAGTCAAGAAAATTTAGACGCGTTATATGACGGACCTTCATCTCACGGTGTTCCCGCTGCCATCCAACTTAATTTCCTTCCAAGTGAAAGGGTTGGTGAGACCGCTTCATGTTGCGCTGACCATACTGATCGTGAGGAGAACCTCGTTGAACATAACACTGAAGAAGACAATTCTGATTTTGTTCGCGAAGCTGTGGGTTACACAAATGGAGATCACTCACCTGCTAGCTATCGGCTGATGAAAGCTACTGCTCTTGCCCACTGTCTAGACGGTAAACAATTTGTTGAGATGTGTTCTGGTTCCCACCTACTTGCTGACCACGATCCTGCCGTGTTGACCTACCTTTTTCCCCACTTAGACCCCTGGGGAATAGGCTGTTTTCATCATCCCGATCGACGTCTTGACCAAGCTATATCTTTTGAGCGCCAGTTTTGCAACTTGATATTGCAAGATGACTCTCCCTTTCAAAGTGACCCTGACTTTGCGTATGTTTGTTGGAACATAATGCAGCGACGTGAAGTCATGAAACATGTCACCTTTCATATTCAAGCTTCCGAACGCATATCAATAGGTAGGCAAATTAGTGAACAAGCACCCGCACTTACCAATCTCATTTGTATCTGGGAGTCCGACCCTTACGCGAAACCTTCCAACCGTCAACAGAAAGCTGCTGTTAAGCTTCTTAATTGTTTAAAGTTCTTAGCCAAGGATGTGAAGGGTAGCAGTGGCTACAAGCAGTGTCGGCGCAATGAGATCCGTGTGTTGATGAAGCTGTTAGGTACTCCGGCTTTATTTTTGACTATTAATCCTTCAGTTATCAATCACTTTTTGGTCGGCCTCTTTGGTGACGTGTTGCCCGAGGAGTGGAAAATTTTGAGTGCTCTGCAAAGGTCTGTATTTGTCGCAAAGAACCCCGGTTCAGCCGCTCTCCATTTCGATCATATCATTACCAGTTTTATGAACATCGTTTTGAAGTATGGTAGCAAGCAACCTGGCTTGTTTGGTGTTTGTGACACATACTATGGGATGGTTGAGGCTCAGGGGAGAGGTACTTTGCATTGTCACATGCTGATATGGATACGTGGCGATCCTAACCCTCAAAGCTTGCGTGATCGCATGTTGGCAGACGAGGACTACAAGACCCAGATTTTCACTTGGTTGGAGTCTATGTCTATCATTCAATGTGAGCTGCCTGGTACAACAGAAGTCGTAATCGACAGCCCTGACCATCCACTTCAGAGGCCTCCACGTGCACCTGACCAACTAGATCCTAGACTCGCAGATTGGCTGATATTGAGTGAAGACGACGTTCATTTTGCACAACGCTTTCAAGACTTTGTTACTGATTTAGCGCTCACATGTAATTGGCACGAGCATACGGACACGTGCTGGAAACACTTGCGACCGGGAGAGCCTCGCAATGACCAACATTGTAGGATGCGAATAAACGGGTCTACTTGTTCTCTCACTGAACTTGATAGTGAGACCCAAGGAATATTATTGTGGAGATTGCACCCAAAGATTAACAACTTTAATGACATTGTCATCTTCCTACTTAAGTGTAATATGGACATCAAATATGTTGGTTTGGGTGAAGCGGCGAAAGCCTTACTTTACTATATAAGCAATTATATCACTAAGAGCACGCTCCGTGCACGTTGGCCTGGACGCATTGCATTACGCGATTAAGCAGAACGAGAAGAAATTTCCCCAAAGTGACGACACTCCTGAGTCGGTGAGGAGTCAAAGTTTGTTCACTAAAAGTGTAAATGCTATAATGGCTCGTCAAGAGATGTCACATCAACAAGTCATGTCCTACCTCATTGGAGGAGGGGACTGTTATACCAGTCATTCCTTTCACGTTCTTAGATGGTCTGAATTTGACCAATACATATCTTCCCACTTCGCTGGAGACCTTCAGTCTTCATCCTCTGTAGAAGATGATAGTAATGTCCCTTTTCATGACAACGCTGGGCACCTACTTTCCCGTGCTGATGACCAAACTGCACTCACAGAGGAGATTAGTGTGAGTGTCGAAAACAACTATATCTCGATCAATAGCGACTTACAAGATTATTGCTATCGTAGTAAGAAGAGGTTTTCCAAAGTCTTCCTTTATGGGACTACATTGAATGCTGCCAAAAGATCCTTAGCTCCCATGAGTCTGCAAGACTAACGTGGTTGGATCATACAGACGAGGTTCGTCACAAGGATGGATGTTTGCAACTACGACCTGGTAGATCTGCGGCACCCAGAGGGCAATTCCTGCATAAACACCCACAACACTTGACACACTTAATCTGGATGAGAGAACTTCATCTCGTGCCTGTCCTTCTGGGGCGCCCTCTTCCAAGACCTGATCGTGATGGTGAGGAGTTTGATAATTGGAGTCGGGCAATGCTCATTTTGTTCAAGCCCTGGAGACGTCCCTCCGACTTGAGATCTACAAACGAGAGTTGGACAGAAGCATTTCAACGTTATGATTTCTCACCTAAACATAAAACACTCATGGCAAATATGAATGTTGAAAATGAATGCAAGGACACAAGAGACCTACACTCCCACGTCCGTCGAACAAACCCGCATCAACCTGAACTATTCACCGCGATGGATGGTATGCAGCATTCAGATGACATTGAGGGTCCCGGATTCTCTGTTCTAAATGGCCCCTCCCTGCAAACAATGGGGTTAGATGATCATGATGATGATGCTTTCGAGGAAGATGTAGCTCAAATGGAAAGCAGTGATCTCACCGATTGTGAATGTATTCTTCTTAACATGAATTGCTGTGGAATTTTTGATGTCATTCCCAATGCACCTATAAACCCCAATCTTCACCACTCAACTCTCATGGCTGATTGTGACAAAAGGTTAATAGGTATGCAAGCGTTGATGATGAAAGAGATCAAGTAAAAAAAAAGACCTACATCAGACAGACCTTCAAATAGTGATGACTTGCCACCAACCGAACATTTGGAGGATTTTGCTGAGCCCCTCACGCATGTCACTGAGATTGCAGGTCCCTCACATCACGCCCTCCCATCCACGTCCTCTCCTATTGACTATCTATCAGATGTGATCCGCAACACAGGCATCGCCGGTAACGACGAGCAAGAACGAGCATTTTGGATAGTTGGCAACCATTTTCTCTGTAATGCTGACAATCAGCTCTTGCTGCATATCACGGGTATATGTGGTTCTGGAAAAAGCCATGTTATCAATGCGATTGTCGAATTATTCAAGAGAAACAATGCTGCTCATCAGATTATCATGAGTGCTCCCACAGCTTGTGCCGCTGTGTTAATAAAAGGTTACACAATTCACGCACTGACTTTTCTACCAAAAGCCAAACACCAAAACAAGAGCAATTGGAAGTAATCTGGCGCGACATCAAGTATCTTGTCATCAACAAGATTTCCATGGTATCTGCACACCTGCTCAGTGACATTTCCCATAGAATGAGTACTGCCAAAGCTTGGGATAGAAACACTGCAAATAAGCCATTTGGTGGTGTAAATGTCATCTTCACAGGAGATTTTGGTCAATTGGCACCTGTGCAAGATCATGCTTTATTTAGTAATCAATTAATCACTAAATTGATGCCTAACACCACACAAACCACTTATGGCCAATCAGCACTCCATGGCGCTTTTCTATGGTGTCAGTTAACACAAGTCGTAGAGTTAAAAAAAAATTGGCATGCCCATGAAGATCCTGACTTCCTCAATCTCCTACATCAAATACGATCTGGACGGGCTTGGAATGGTAAACTGGAGAAAGACAAATTTCAAAGGGGAACTGATGAAAACTACGCTCGCTTTGATTATGCCGTCCTACACGACAAAATGATCCACGTACTACTTGCGCATGATCCAGGAGCTCTTCAAAAATTCAGAAATGCACCAGTCATAGTTGCGGAGAATGTCATCAGGGACGCACTCAACCTTCAAAAAGTCATCTGTTTTGCAGCGTCAACTGATCAAGACTTCCATGTCTATTGCTCCACCAACACCTACAAGAAGAAAAAGTTACCGGACTATATCCAACAGCGTATCTGGAACATAAGGTCAAGTGTCACCCAGGATAACTTGGGTTTCTTGCCTCTAATTCCTTCCATGCCCGTTATGATTATGGAAAACGCCACCATAAAAGAAAACATTGTGAACGGCTCACAAGGCATTCTGGAGAGCATCAAGTTTACTGTAGATGAGAAGGGTAATCAATACACGGAATGTGTTTATGTCAGAATTCCTGGTTGTCTGTTACAAGCACCTGGCTTACCTCTCGGTGTTGTGCCCATTTTGCCTGTTCCTACCTCCTTTACCTACAAAGATGAAGATGGTTGCAACTGGAGGATCAATAGGAGACAACTCCCTCTCCTACCCGCATTTGCTTTCACCGATTACAAGATCCAAGGACAACCAGTAGATAATGTAATCATAGACCTCGCAGGTTGTCACAGCCTCCAAAGTGCATATGTCATGTTGTCCTGTGCTAGAACACTAAATGGCATAGCAATTCTCTGTTGGTTTCCTTCAACAAAAGTCTACTACCACTTAGGTGAACAATTCCGCTCTGAATTTTCTCCATTGAAACAACATGATACAGCAACAACGGCACAGTACATCAACCTCAATCTTTCCTCCAACAATCTGCCCCGGTGTTAACCAACACCACCATTCCATATCGCCACCCTCTTCCTCCTTAATGGTACAGTGTTCTTGCCCCCCTCGCACTAACAAACAGATGCAATGTACCGTAACTGCTGTCACAACTATAGCCTCACAAGTGCCACACAACTGCCAACCTTTTCTGATATATATATAACACCTCGGTGCTGCTTTCCCTCCTCAACATATCACTTTTCCCTCCTCAACATATCACTTTTCCCTCGTCATCTTTGAACGGCATATAGAAGCATACTTTGTCAAACGTGGACCTCACGGTATGTGGACAATTGTGAGCAATACGACAGATGTATTTAGTTGCCTCCCAACTACCTGGACTAAAGCTGATCTCAAACCCTCATTTGAGGAATTTATTGTAGCACAGAAAGAGGTCAACGGGAGGCATGAGATGGCCACAAGAACTGTAAGATCCCGGATTGATCAAGGAGTGCTCGTCATTGGTGAGATTTGTGAGGCAACGATAAACTATAACAAAAACAAAACCTGTCTCCTTCTGCACTTGCAGGGAGTAAGGGGTTCAATGAGCTTGAGGTCAACAGACGCTAGTAAATATAGCGAGTAGAGGACTTTTGAGAGGTAAGCTTCAAAGGTTTTAGTTGAGGAGTAAAGCGGGTAAATTCAGTAATAGAAAACTAAGGAGCCATACATGAATAGGTAAGGCTTTATATAGTGAACTGTTTGTTCCTCAAACCGAAAGGAGAATATACAAAAAGTGGTCTGAGGAATCAATCGACCAATAAGAAAAAGGGAGAGTAACTATCGTACGACTTTTGACTTGATTAATCAGCAGGTGAGAGACTTGTACTAATAATAGAGGATTGTCACGTGTGTTCAGGAACCGTATCCTCATAATGAGGTACGATCCTGAATAAGGCATTATTAGTATTACCAGGCTTTACTGGGGCTTGGAGCTGGTTGGCGAGATTCCTACTACCAGTCCCTACCCAGTGTGCTGGCTGGCTGGGAGTGATACCCAGTCTCTGATCTGTGATATAAAATGGTAGCAATGGTTAAGAAAGCCTGTGAGGGCTATGAGAAGTAGAACGGCAAACAATACCTCTAGCCCTAGAGCCAGAGGCGTAATGGGAAAAGCGTTCGAGAACCAAGACATAGCGAAGATAAGAAAATAATGAAATGGTCCTTACAAGATTTGGATACGCAGAAAAGAAACCATCTCCCAGAATGAAGTTCATAATGGCCGTCAAATGGAAGTGAAAGATAGGCGTGATGCTATGATTGGTGCCAGATACAATGACATCGACGGTGCAACTTCCGTTGCACATAGTAACCACTCCTGTCATTCCAGCCTGAGGTTTGTACCTTGACTCGTCCCTTGTATGGTTGTAAATGATAACATAGCCTCCAATGTAGTAAAGGTATCGCACAACCTTCTGAACATGCTGTGAACCAACATACCAGTCCATGTCACCAGCACGTTGCACCATTGACGGAGAAAAGTACGATAGCACAGTAGAACCAGATATGATGCTATACATTGTACGCAGCAGGCAAAGGACATGGACAGAATTTCAAAAATAAGGGTGCAAAGTGCAGATAAGCTATTGGTACAGGTAACACTGCAAACAACTATAATTGGCATGTGCAGTCTATCCATACATTAATAGATCAACAACCCTCATCTCATCAAATACTTGTTCTACAAGTTCAACTGACATGTCTGCAACAACAAAGCCGGGTACACCATTTAAAGACATTGCAAGGACTTGACACAGTAAGTGTCTCTTTTTATGCCAAGTGCCCTCTTTAAATCATCCTTACCCTCACTCTACGTGCACCGGAAACATTGTCACCCCAAAAATTGCATTTTCTCTATTTAAAAATGATCGTAAACATTGATCAGCCCTCTTTTCATCCCAAATAAAGGGTTTTTTTGGGCTTTCTTAAATGTCTGAGCTTGCTGACTGTCTGTTCTCATCTGCCCATTTCCATGTCTTTCATCCAAGGTTCGGGTTTCTTAATTGCATCTTGCTGCACGTCACTGAGTATGCATCTACAGATACTACAGGGATTTTAGTGCATAACAAATGGCCACCGCAGTTTACAAAGCCTCTGCTTGAAGGGAATGAAGAGCGTAAAGTGTGGGAGGTTGTCCCATCCACATTTGAAGATCTTTGCGAGTGGGCACATGTCTCCCAAAACCCCTCAGAAGTCAACAAAACCCAAAACCACCTTCTACTGTACAAGACTTCTTGCAGTGACGGGATCGAATCCCTATATCCAGTCACAATCCATGTTCAAGGTCTGTTGGGTAAATTCAACTCAAAGGTTTTTGGGTCTTGGACAGGGTAAAGTCTTTCACCTTAACAATGAATATTAATTCATTGTCTCCCCCTAGCATCCAGAAAACAATCCCTTCAGCCATTCAATATGTAAACCTGAAAGGATGCAATCATTGGGAGCCATGGGTTTCTGCTTTGCACGCCATCAAGAACTTGCGTCAAATCATCTATGCTGCATTGGGTGATTACCAGCATGTTGAAGCAGATCCTTCATTAAACCACAACATATTCATGCAATGCCAGGTTTTTACCAAGGTATGCACTACATAGTTACATAAGTCAACTCAACTGAATATGCAAAGATCAGGAAAGATAATCAAAATAAAAAAAGTGTCCTCTTACCCTCCGACAATCCCTTTTGCTGGATGAAAGCGGTTGATCGTGCTTGGGGGGTTACAGATAAAGTCCAGATTGCACGGTGTGATAAGAGCGGTGCTATTGTGTCCTCTTTATCAGCCGTCTTATCCCCTGGGGACTTTGTCAATGTGGGCTTCACGTTTGATATCAGCACAACCCACAACGCATCTGGCCTTCACAAAATATGTGCATATCTCAATATTGAACATGTTTTGCAACTAGTGAAAGCTGTGGAGTTTGCAAAGGTGCGTGATATCAGAACTTGGGCATATCAATCTCTGACAGCTTGCAGGTCATTGGAGCACCTAGCCAGTCAGAAGCACCATCTACTGAAACAACCTCAAACCCTAAAATTAAACAAATGAGGCTTTCTTTGGCAACCCCTAAAGGACTCTAACTTTATCATATATTTCGGTAAATAGAACATCAATAAATTGTTTTTATTCAGCCTGTGAACTGTAGATGTCTTGGCCCAACAAGTATTTAAATCACGCCTACCCCACAGGATTTTGAATAACTGATTGTTCCCCGTTTCCTTCGGCGGCCCTTTCGACAAACGAGTCCATTATGATTGGAAATATTTTGGAAGTCTAGAAAATTATGAAATGTACGCTCCCCAGAATTTTTGGCCACCTTGTTTCTTTTGCTACGTAAAGACATCCACAAGCCCCACAACTTTCAATAGTTGGCATGTCCTCAAAATTCTGAAACAAACACTCCTCAAAAAAATTTGTCCCGCATTTTTTTCTTCTGCATAAACACATGTTCTACAAACACCAGCCCCTAAAAATTGGAATCCTTGTTGTAATTTCCTCCTTCCCTCACAACGTCCTCTCGCACTGAATATATTTAAAAGGCCTCAACTTTACTTCATGGTGTGTCACTCACTTCCTCGTTCACACTACATTTTTTCCATTTATTGTCAATCACATTTTGTACTCTGTTGCTCAAGGTTTCAAAGAGAAAGGCTGTTCATGCAGACATACCTCTGTTACCACAGATTGAGCTTGCTAAGAAGCAAAGGTAAGACTCCTTTTGCATCCCTTATTTCCACCTGACATTTGTACACACTCAGATTCAATGGTGACTCTAGCAACTCTTTGCAGCCGGGGATTACGGATGCCTCAAGGTATATACATTCACGCCACACCTCCAATACAGTGCTTGACATGTAAGCCCTTACAGTAACTTTAACTCTAACATTGGCGAGGGCCAACTACGGTACTCCTCCCACACCCCACTGTACACAATTTCACTAACTTCTCTGTGTCCTACTAATCATTGTTGTAGAGATGAGAATGAAAATACAACATTTCGCGAGTTAATCCCTGTGGTGTCCGAAAACGTGCCAGAACAAGCCCCTGCACTACACAGCTCTGCCATTTTGGGAGACGGAACAATCACAGAAACTGTTGCCAAGACAAACGACCACACTGACAAAGAGCTGGTGGCTATGGACGAGGCTCAACTTGCTACGTATGACACTCTGACGGTCGCGTATGTTAACCACAAACTATTATGGGACTCAGGACTAACTGCACTGAAGGCGTTTATGCACTTTTGCAAACTATTCTGATGCAAAAAATTTAATCTATGCGGTTGAAAATATTCCGCCCACGGCCACATGGGGCATTTTCAAGCCTATTCACGACAAGTCCACACTTCTTTGCGATCCCTTGAGCAACATGCCCTGCACAGTGTGGCTGCCAGGTGTTGTCTCTCGAGTGTGGATGTTTGATCCCAAAGGCAAAACACGTGCCCATGTTAGTATATCCATGGTTCCAATTGGTGTCAACACAGCAAGTGCCGCACGTAACATAATTGACAACTTGTCCTTTCCAAATGGCGGTAAATGTTGTCGTTGTATGTGAAACTGCATCACCTAACAAGATGCATGATCTACAGATCCCAATGAAGAATGCTGGGGTGACATTAGAGCATCCCGTTGACAATTGGCCTACAAAGCTCAAAGGAAAACCATATGTGTCAACTGCATTTACAATATCCTATTCCTAACCCTTGTTCCAGCCAAAACCTTTCACAGATGTGTATGATGCCAGGAAGGTATTCAATCCAAAATCCGAAATGGATTACTACAGTGCCACAAACTTGCAAATGGGTGACACTGTACTTATGGAAGCGTACATTAAACATTATTGCCTAAGAAGCGACATAGACAATTTGACCCCCGTCAACAAATGCCCTTGGAGGGGGTGGAAAGCGTACTTTGAGCTGAAGTGCATATCACTCATTCATACCACCTTACAGGATGACAAGGTGGAGGCTAAGAAAGATGAGCAACATATCCATATCTGAATGTAATACTATATGTTACTACTCATGCTTATACGAAATTGCACTGTTGAGCAGTGCTGAGCCGGAAATTTTTGGTGAATAACATCAGTAGACAAGTGACCCCTAACTTCAAATGACATTGCCAGCAATACATGCCATATAAAGTGACCTACTTTTTACAAACCCCTCTTTCCCCATGTTTGTTGATGGCTTCTATTGAAGAAGTACTACAGATTTCAAAACACGTGTGTCACATGTTGCCTGTGAGTCCACATTCTTTGCCAATCACATGCACCACTAATTATTGATCACTACTGGCAGGCCCCCCCTACCGTTTTCCAAGCTTTATACTTTGAAACAAACTGCTTATGTCCCACTCCTGTGGACGTCGGCACCACTGAACTATTCCACTCCAATGTCTCCCCATCTGCAGTGATATACAAGCCATACCTGGTGCCGAACACAAACTATGTTGACACGGAAGATGACAAATTCAGCCCCATCCGCAGTGATATACGAGCCATACCTGGTGCCGAACGCAAGCTACGTCAACACGGAAGATGACAAATTCAGAGGAAGATCAGATAATGAAGAAGAAAGTGAAGTAGCAATGACACTTATTGTAGCCCAAGACTGCACCTGCTTTGAAATCGTTACACGGACTTGCCAGCACTTCCTGGACATACCTTCTATTACGCTGGCCAATCCAATAACCTTTTTCTACCTAAAGCAGTCCACCAGCAAATTCCATTCCCAAGTGCGAGAAAACAAGCTTGTGAATGAAATCATACAGACACACATCTGTCGACAACATACATGGTATGGAGGTGTACTGTTAGTCAAACATTCCCAATGGCAACCAGACCACATCACATATGCAAATGCAGAAGATATTGCACTCTTCCATGTGCTCTTGGCAAAGTGAGTAGCTCCTGTTCTTTGTGATTGACTATGTGCCTATGATGTCACAGTGCAATTGCGAATGGTGAAATGCACCAATAAAGGGCCTTGCATAAAACAAGGGTCACCCTAAAAATCCACGCACAATTCGGATTGGACTAATAAGGGGCTTTAAATTTCAAAAAATACGATGGCTAAAAGTGCGGCCTTTTCCCCAAAATGCTCCTATTTACATTTCAAATGTTAAGTTCTGCTTATAAATCTTGTCATGCGCTGTGAGGAAATCATTCTCGAAATTTGTAACATGGACTTTGCAAAGTGAGTACACGACTGAAAAAATGCGCTGTTCAGTATTGACACTATATATGCTGTAGTTTATCAATCTGCACTAATGAAATTGTGACTCGCAGTTTTTGCTCTGACAAGTACAACTCTTTCATCGCAAGGTATAACCCCTCATCGACACAACCACATAAATTTGATTTCCATGACAGGCAACTTATATCCCTTGCAAGTCTCATCAACACTCCTTCAAATATGTATGCGCTCGAACATCTCCCGCTCACAGCCACCTGGGATTGTTACAACCAAAACGCAACACTTTGTAACCCAATCTGTGGACAACCTTACAATGTGGTGCTCATCGGAGAGTTACAATTGTTGCACGAAGATGAGGGCTGGTTCTATTTAATGTTGTACCTATTTGGGATCAACACAACCTGGATGGCACATCACATTTCATCAACACTGTCATCTGCACCACTACCTCGTTCAACCTCTGAAACATTAGATTGCTTAGAACACAAAGAGGTAAAGTGCTCCTCAATATTCTGATGCGCTAAACTAATTTCAAGTTAAGATGAGGGTTCTTGATGCATGTCATACCGTACGCCATGGCGACATCCCGGTAGCAGCATCTTTCTGTGACTTACATATTGGCGATGCAGTTGTCATCCAAGCTCAAATTCACAGATTTCCAACAGAGCAACCGACCCCTTGCAATCCTTGGCCTTCGTGGGAGTCCAATTTGATTATGTACCATATATACCTGGTTCAATCATAATTTCCATGCTGTGTGTTGCTGCACCCTACAATCAGTTTCACTACAATACTGTCAACACTTCAAATTTCCTCCTTTCTTTTCTTTTCTTCCCGTCGCCCTCACAACCCTTTGGTGCAGGTGGAAAACAGTGATTTTTGTAATCTTTTTGTTTCTTGACAACACTGTCTGAACCCTTTTTCTCCTGCCCGTTCAAATGTTGTTAAATTGCTCTCCTGCTCTCAAACAATCCCCAATTTCTCTACTTAGTTATCTACCTCTTTGTACCTCAATGGATCATGCAAATAATCAGATTCAGCATCAAGAAATCCAAGACATGCTACAAAGTGACTGTGACTACATCCTACATATCAACCCTTCTTGACTGATGTTGCCCTTTAGCATTCAGTTATCCTTCTTGTTGCCAATGTGTCAATCCTGCAAACACTCTACAGCCATCTCATACCACTTCTCTCTCAACAACAAGGCACCCTAGTATGTATCCCACTCCTGTACCTTTAATTGGCCACTTAATCATACAAAACCAGACTTGACATCAACTGCACAGAAACGTTTGACATACTACATAGCTAGCTACATGTCTAAAATATAGTATGTATGATTCCGTGGGAAATATCATCAATGTGGGGACCAGGTTTGCCCGGAGGGCCATCCTATGTTGATTGGCCTGGATTAGTATCACACTAGGCAAGGAAGAATTAATCAGATGGTGCACAGAATGGCAAATGAAACTTACAGCTTTTGAGTGCAGCTACGGTGTCGTCGAGTCGACAATCATGAGATCCAGCAAACTTGAACTTGAATTTCAGCGTTGTATAACAGGCAGTTGACGAGAGTCATGTGTGACTAGTGTCACACTAGATAAGTTCTAGATTGAGGCGCGGCCTATATTGTAAATTAAGCTTGTGATAAGATAATACAAACAATGGAGGGAAATATTTTGGGAATTTTGCTAATCAACAGTTGCAGATAAATGAGAATGATTATCTTGGAGTATTTTAGAATATTATCACTATAAATCTGCTGGTTCAATGGTGGAGAAATTTAGAATTAATTCTCTGAGAATATTTTAAATATTTTCTCTGTAAAAATCTTCATATTCTGTCGGCATTGAGGGTGATTCATTTGACAATATATGCAGATTAATTGCAAAGATTATACTGTGAAATGACTTTAATTTTTTTCACTCTCAAAGCCACAGAAACAGGTAGCATTGATTGGGAATTTTAGTATAAAAATTATCTATTTATTTTCCTGGGTCATTGGCAGCACCTAATAATAAAGATATCTGTATATGATGCCATTATAATCCCAGCTCATATAAGCCAATGCCTGCAGTGGGAGGCCTTCATCATAGCATCAGCACATTCCATCCACCTGAAGGTAAAACTCCCTCTTTTGGCCAGCTTTATATTCACGACCCACAGACTGCCCTTTTTTTACATAATGAGAATAAAAGGGGGCATAGCACTACACCAGCAACCATGCTGGAGATCCAGGATACCCTGGAGCAATCCAATCCATTTAATCCATTCATCCTGTTGTACAAGCAAGCTTATCAGATCATCATGGAAAAGCCTGAAGCAGAATGTGCCAACATAACAGCCCATATAGCTTTTGACCAAACTCTGGACCAAAGTCGTTATAATCTTCCTACTGCAGATGAAGTTGCTGCTGTTATCCCTGGAGATGGAGAACACAATGTTGTTGAGGACTGTGATATTGTTTTGCAGCTGAAGCAATTTGATCATGGTGGTGGTCTCAAGCATATCAGCTATTTGTACCCCCTTTATTCACCTCTGCATTATGTCCTCCTATTTTTCTTTGGAGAATAAGGGTGGCATAGAACATTACGGTTCATTCAAAATGCTGATGGAAATATATGTAGTGAATATGTCTCCCAGCAGTGTTATTATGCATACCATCTTCATTCCCAAAGAACCAATCAATCTAATCACTTCTATGGAAAGCTACTTTGGGAGTATTGCATTGATGCATGGGCTTCCACAGAAAAAAGTGAATTGAAGTGAGTCCATCATTATCAAAAAGACATAAGGGCAGATTTTTACCAAAGTGTTAAAGATGCTATGGATCAAAATGATGGGGAAATAGATTTGGGTCAACAGGGCCAGAACATTGTCCTACCATCTTTTCATTGAAAGTACACAGCACATGTACCAGCTTTTCTAGGACTCCATGGTTTGTTGGAATTGCATCAAGGTCCAAATCAGGCCCATCATCAGGCAAGTGCTGAGGTTGCTGAAGTACAGCTGGTGGGTCAATATCTCCCCCTGGACCTGGTGCAGGGACATCCTCATCCAGGCCCAAAGGCATGAGAAGCAAAGATGGAAAAGGTGGAGTAGGAATGGCAGTGGTAGAAGTCTTTTTCAAGCCAGGGAAGTAGCGCTCATCAAAGTCAGCTCTTTCAGAGATAATGGTTTGTTTGGTGGAAGGATTATAGAATTTCCATTCCTTGTACCCAGCAGGGTAACCAATGAACACACATTTCTCCATGTGAGAGCCAAAGACACCTCTCTTATCCTTTTGCACATGCACATAAGCAGTGCACCCCCAAACACAAAGGTGTGACATGTGTCCATGCCACAATTGATAAGGAGTAGCATTGACCACTGCATCAGTGAGACACCTATTCCAGACATGCACCAAGGCACCTAGGCATTCACCCCAGAAGATATTAGGCAATCCAGATTCTGAAAGTATGGTAGTGATTCTTTCAGAGAGAAGCCTGTTTGCTCTTTCTGCAACTCCATTCTGCTGAGGCCTATTCCGGGTGGTATGCTGTCTGACAATGCCATGATCATCTGTGAATTGCTCAAACTCCTTGGAAATGTACTCTCCCCCTTTGTCATATCGCAAAGCCTTGATTTTTCGCTCTAATTGAGTCTCAGCATAAGCCTTGAAACTCTTGAAAGCATTAAAGATATCTGACTTGGCCTTCAAAGGGACAACAACACAAAATTGAGTGTAATCATTGATGAAGGTGACCCAATATCAATACCCAGAGAATGAAGGGGAGGAGACTTGGTGTACATCAGAGTGGATGAGGTCTAGAGGGTGAGCAGAGCAGTGAGAAGATGAAGGGAATGGGTTGGCAGACATTTTTCCAGACAGACATGGTTCACAGATAGGATCAGGAGTAGATTTAGACTCAAGTGTCATTCCAGTAACAAGGTCTCCTTGTGTCAATTTCTTGACATCAGCATAGTGGTGGTGAGCCAATCTTCAATGCCAAAGGTTTAAATCAAGTGGAATTGTTGCAGAAAAGTGTCCCAATTCAACACAAGCAACAGTGGATCCATCAAGGAATGCAGCATTATTGTTGTTGATGGTTGCAGTGAATAAGGGAGTGTTGCCACGTATGAAGGACATAGATTGAGATGAAATGGTGACTTTAAAACCACTTTGGCGAGTTAAGTACAAGACTGAGAGGAGATTATTTTGAAGATCTGGTACATGCAGCACTCTGGAGAATTCTACAGCCCTTGATTCCTTGCCATTGATGATAGGGTTAAACACCACAGTACCAATACCAGCTGAATAAACAACAGTATGATCTGCTAGCTTTATGGGAACACAATATGGTGCATAATTGCGAATCCAGTGATGATGAGGTGTCATATGAGAAGTGGCACCTGTGCATTCCAATCAATGTCAGCATCAAGTTGGAGAGGGCGGTGTGGGTCAGAGGGATAAATAGAGTGGAGGCTTGCATTTCTAGCTGACTCTGCAACCATAGTAGAAAAATAATATTTTGCACCAGGTATGGCAGATTGGTTACAATGATGGCAGTGGGGAGATGAGCAAGAACAATGAGTGGGAGCAGAAGATGAATGAGGAGTACATTTTGTTTTATCCATGGTGTGGAAATGAACTGGCAAAGCAGTGGTGGTGGATAATGGAGAAGGTCCAAAAAGTGCACAGAAAGGTCCAAAGGGTCCAAAAGAGTCCAAAAGAGTCCAAAAGAGTCCAAAAGAGTCCAAAAGAGCGGTTCAAAAGCTGTCCAAAAGCAGTCCAGGAAGGTGCTAAGGCTTCCTAGTGATGCTACAGGGTTACACCTGTGTTCCCCTTTCAATACTACACTGATTGACAAAACCGGATAAACCCGGTCTCTGCCGAAGCAGCCATTGTTCTCCATGGAGCATAGCCATCACTCCATGGAGTCACCATTGTACTCCTAGGAGTCATTATACTGTAGCGAGTAGCACCTCCAACTATAAGTAGTAGGGGGCTTAGTATAGAAATACCTCAGTCGTTTCTATAGCCTATTGGGCAGCGGCTGAGGTATGTTACATTACATTTATTAGAAATCACCTTAAACTAACATCAATTGTAGTTTCACATAGGTAAATAATAAAGTTGTTTCTATAGCCTCTTGGGCAGCGGCTGAGTTTCACATAGGTTTATTAGCAGCTGATGCCAAAGTTGCTGCCGCTGTGCCTCGACTTAAAGTTGCAGCTATACCAAAGACAATTGTTGCACAAATCATGCTGCAGTTATAATCGCACCAATATTTTGGTCCAAAGGTGCCACCAAACAGTGAAATTGGCATGCTGAAGGCTGGGAATGTGAAGGCATTGGAGGCCGCTGTCAAGTGTTATAATTCTGGAAAGGCTTGCCCGTGTACTCATGTTGCTTGTGAGGTTGTTTAAGATAGTGGCACAATAGATTTAGCTTCAGAGTCAGGGGATGGTAGTAACCATGATGAGTTTTGAGCATCAAGGGAGGACTACATTCATTCAAACTAGCTAGTATATCAGCTCTGTCATTAATTGTAGTTTACCAGGTTGCTTTTGTAGTCCCTCAATGAGATGTAAGCTTGAGTTTGAGTGTCAGGAGAGAATGTATAATGGCATAGTGAATTCACCACCTTAGGTGCGCACATTCTGATTACATAAGCTCACACTTTTCTTGGTGTTGCCTCCCCCATTCACAGTGCTGGAGGTGGGGGAAAAACATATATCTGTAATACAATTGCAGTCATCATTTGAGCAAAGGATAATCATAATGTTGCTCTATATGTAGCATCCCTGCTCTTGGATGGTGCCTGCATAGCTCATTCATGCTTTGGAATCCCTATTCCTGTACATAAAACATCCACAGGCAGGATTCCAAAAAACTCTGACCTCCATGAGGTATTGAGACATACCAAAGTTATTGTCTGGGATAAAGCACCAATTCAACACTGTCATGGAATTGAAGCATTGAACCGTACATTGCAGGACAATTTGGATAATCAGCTTCCATTTGGAGGCATTATAATGGTCTTTGAAGGGGACTTCCACAGAACAACACCTATTGTTCTAAGAGAGTCAAGGCAACATATTATATCTGCCTTTCTTAGAAGATTACAACTGTGGACAAATATCTATGTCTGCTACCTCACACAGAACATGTGCCTGGACCGTACTCCAGAAAGCAAAGCCTTTGCTAGCTGGCTCCTGGATGTTGATGGTGGTCGTGGAATTGCAGAAGATGGAACTATTGAGCTCCCCACCAACATGCTTATGCCAGAAAACAATATTCCTACACATCACAATGACCAACATTTTTGCTGTTGAAAATGGCTATGAAAATGTGCTCACAAAATTATATATTTCAATGAAAATATAATAGACTTAAAATAAAACATAACACTAATCATAAGAATTACTAACCACATATCTAATTTGGATATCCCTCTAAGTCTTCAACAAAATTGGTAATATGAGATGAAGACAAAATGTGTAGTGATTAACTATAATGCTGTTCTCAATTTGATCGTGCATAACTGGAAATTCAAGTGTGAAATAATACAAGAAATATTGTATTTCATCTGAGCTGTTTTGAGCACTTGAAATTTTGTAATTTCAATGTATTTGTAAATAGCAAGACAAAAGGTTGCATTTCTTGTTACACCTAAAACATATTGCCTGCTAACTAACCATTCATATCCCACTACACTCTCATTGCTTGCCCAAGGGCAATATGCTAGCTATCCTATGACTGCCCATTTTTAATAAAGTTTATGGTATGTCAGTTGTAAGGTATTAGATTAGATTAAATAATCCTACCTTACTGATAAGGCAACTGATACTATACATCTGGAGATGCATGTGTGGCTCCCCACCATGTAGATGAGGGAAGCAATGTATACACCTGTAGGGAATCTGCACAAAACAGATTCAATGAGCAAACCACAGGAGCAAGAGCCGCTATGAGGAACACTCAGTGAGCACATAATACACCGCATATGTGAACAGGATATGGAACAATATAGGCAACAATATTGTGGCCATAATTTGGAGAATGGTCAACTGCAAAGCCCTAACAAGGGCCAAAGAGATGCTTGTTACAAAAACAATGAGGAGCTTCAAGAATCATAAGATGACAATGATAACTAGGAAATGGAGTTGGTAGACCTAGGACAGGATCCATACAACTCAAGGGAATTAAAGTCTCGCCCCCTGACAAGTACAAGGGCTAAGATAATATTGAAGTATTCGACACATGGATATGTTTGGTATTAAGATGAATGCAAGTGTGCAAAGCAGTGAGCCCTGTGTTGGAATTGTCAAGGTCAAAGTCTAGGCTTTGTTAGACAATATTGTGCAATTGAGTGTTGATTATCCAAGGGCTGGTAGCTCAGTTGGTTAGAGCACCACCATATATAGGCAGAGGTCCTGGATTCAATCCCCGGCTGGTCCAATTTGCTTTTCTGTACTCTCTGAGTCCACTATGGATTATTACTGTACATCATAAGCTCAAGAAAAACAGGATTGACCTTCTGGGCACATGTGCAGATGGTCTAGCCGCACAATAGATTGACGAGGAACTTGAATCCCCAGACCACAGAAGATATTGTAGGTGTTTACAAATAATTTATCACAAAGACAACTGCTCAGAAAGCAACTGATGCCTTCCACACCCTGAGATACTCACAAAATAAGGGTGCACTTATAACATACCCAAAGTTTGTAGACTCTGATGCACACACAGATACTCAAGAAAGAAGTAGTGAAGTGATAATTGAGTTTGTAAACTCAGATGATAGGAATAAGTTATTTGTTGGGATACAACAGGAGGACTCACTAAGGAGTCTTCATTTATTGCAAGGGTATATATACCTAAATACATGTGGTACTCTATAGTTAATATAAATAAAGGTAAACATTCTGTGATATTCTATTATATTTTATATGATGTCATGTCATGTGACAGGTCACATGATGGGTCTAGACATCAGTCAGATGATGTGTCACGCAATTTTCAAAAGTAAAGTCTGAAAATAAAATAAAAAGAAAAGGAAAGGAAAATAAAGTGAAAATAAGTGCCAAAAAAATATTGTTGTAACAGCACTAGCATTCCTTAGCAAGTTACAGCACTATGAAACCATGAAAATTGCATGGTGCACACACAGTACCCAGATAAATATACATTCAGGCTAAGATTCCTCAAGGGATTACCTCTGCTAAAATCCAAAAGGATAATAGCCAAAATGTCCACCGTACGGGAAATGGAAAAAATGCACTACAATTTGTAGAACACTAAAATTCTTTTAAGCTTTCTAAGCATATGTATACCAAAGCACTTATTCACTACACCATGTAGACTTATAAAATATGACATATAATTATACTATATATAATCACTTTTTAGACTTAGTGACATTTCTGTTGATGTAACTTGAAGCTGCTTTGTATTTATGGACTTTTGAAGTAAGCAACTAGCTGATGAGATAGTTTGTATAGTATATTTAGATTCAAATATACAATTCCTGAAGTATCTAATAGATAATTGATATTGTATTATATCATTGACCTATAGCTACTATGGCTCCAAGTCAACTCTCATAGCTTATATAACCTTACTACTACTACTGTAGATTTGCAACAAACTTGAAAGGCAAGGTAAAGCTATTGTGGCCTGTATAGTAACCTACCAGCTATATGGCAGATGTACTGTGAATGTAATGAATGTATCCTGAAATTCTGACTAGCTTTATCTGCAACTTGTAAGTAAAATGTTCCCAAATTCTTACACCTTTACTAAAGTGTTTTGTTATCAGATCATATTATCATCCTTTACTATTGCTAGAGTCTCTTTCTTATTTCTTATTCAATTTATCAATGTAACAACCGCTAATGAGTAGTAAAATTTCTGCACATTACAAAAACTTATGAAGATGCAAAATGTGTAGAGTAACAGTTCATGAAATGAACCCAGATAAGGATAGTATACTGTATGAACAGACCATGATATCAAAAACAAAAATCGCGCAGAGCATGCAGGAAGAACGCGTTACTCCAGAGGGTATACATTGCGAAGACGTTTATCATAGCTACTCTTCAAACCCTGAAATCGTGAACAAGTAAAGGAAGGACTGATAATTGCAACATGCACGATCGAGAAGGGAGACAGGTGAGAACATCGTAGTGAGCGCCGAAGCACGTGTATATTGGTACATTTTGCAGGTTATTTTTGCAGGTTGTTTAGAATTGGGCGGACACGAAGCGACAGAGCACTAAAGATTATTATGGAAGTGATTGCGAAAAAATCGCACTCCTCGGAGAACCATTGATATTGTGGAGCGCAGTTCGACCAAAGGCAACGAAGTCTGGAGAGTGATGTTTTTGAGACAGCATGTCCACCTGGCGTTTACTACCCTGCATCTCGGAAGTCCGACGGAGGTTCTCTTTATTGTCCTCGGCAATCGAAGAATATGAAACAGAGTCACTGGAACAAAAGGAACTGTTTCGTTTCAACGGCATATCGTCTGATATCATCGTTGAAGAGCTCGTAGGAGTAGAGGGATGATTGGATGTGGAGGGAAACGTGATGACAGGGTGCCGAACAAATCTGCCACCTTCAAGATAATACTGCACGACAAAAGTAGCAGCCTTAGAGTAAAATGCGTAAGAGTACTTTTTGACCAAGATTTCTGATAAATCATCCACGCTGGTTGCTAGGCGACTATCCAGATACTCCACGATCTCCAAACAGTCCTTCGTTTCCTCCAAGAATCGGCGACCCTTGTCACACAAGAAGCGAGAGAGCGTCAAAGCACCTAGCGCTATTGATGACGCAGAGTAGTTGATAAATTCTCTATAAAACAAGGTGATCTCCATCAAAAAGCGAGCGACATGCTGCACCTTCTCTTCCTCTACGCAAGGATCATAGCACATTATTCTGAGCCAACATTCGGCAGTAGGATGTCCTAGTGTCCACTGGATAGTAGACAAAACATGGCCTTCCATTTGAACAAAAGCTGATTCGTCATAAGTCTCCCGGCAGAAATGCGCAAGTTCCTGAACTGTTGGCACTCGCTCTTTTGCATCCTCGAACTTGGCAGCTATCCATAGAGCTGCGCATCCAACGAGCTGATAATGTTTGACATAAACAATGCGACGCGAAACATAACGGTCGACAATGTTGAGCGTGAGATAAAGAGTTTCTGGACGAAGACGAAAAGTGAAATGAATTTCGACAAGAAAGTCAACTAAACAGGGACGCATGTGCCATTTGATTTCAGGTTGCTGATCCATCGACTGGGTGGACGATGTCGTAAATCGCTATGCACAACAATGTCAGATTATTAGCAAAAAAAACATCAGGACAAGGGAAGGACCAACCTCCATCTCGTGCATGTAAAATCGTATGTCATCACGATATTCATCTTCTAGGAGAATACCTTGCTGACGAAAAGCCAAAATTTGAGCCTCATGTTGTCGCTGCTGTATCAAAGCCAACCTCGCGCAGAAGGGTGTTCGCCTTCCAGCGTTATAGGAACTAGGAGTTTTGTGACTTTTTGAAATGCCATTCGGCGAGGGGCGCTTCTTTGGATATATGACATTTCGAGCAATCCTCGAATTTGTTGCAGAAATGTCTTTCATATCTAAGAAAAGAGGACTAGCTGTCTGCAATTAAGTGTTTAGTCACCACACTGAGGCATTGCATGACATGACAACAGAGGATACATAACAGCAAAAGCATGTCGTTCAGCGTCTAACAAAGAGGAAAAGGGTCAAACGGAAACATATCATACAATAGCAGAAGATAGTGACACAGTGAAGAGGAGTGAGATGTGACTGAAAAATGAAAGAACAGAATAACAGCAACACCACATTTTACTAGTTCAAATTACAGAATTTAACGTGCAACCAGATAGAATCACTCACCACTGGGAAATATGTGATTCATGCAGTTGTGGACAAAGCCAAGAGCTCCGTACTTGAACGGTTTAATAAGATTGTGCGTCGTAGTCAACGACAACGCTCGCCAGAAAACTGTCTCACAGGATGATCAAACACCCAGTTACCAAATCAGACAAAAGCGCCAAAATATAGATGAAATTACAATCAATTGGGCAAAATCATGCCACATATGGCTAATCAAACACTGTAGACCTCAGAAAAGGTGATAATCACCTGATAACCTGATGAATATAATCAACTACAAACCGGCTGATATTCGGTGCAGGGTGATTTATGGGTGATTTAAAAATCACCCGCTGGCAAGTGATAATCACTCGGATTGGGTGATTTATCTTTATTCAACTTTCGAAACAGATATAAAATGTAGCTAGGTGATATTCACTTTCTGTAAGGGTGATTTTCATCACCATGTATGGGCACAACTTAAAAATATAAAGGTCTAATATACGCATATGTTAAGAGTGATTTTCACCATCCATACATTTTAAGTGATTTTTCTATCTACAACATGAATGTTTCAGTGCAAATTACCTTTGTAGACGGCGCGAGCTAGGCTACCACTGCAATCAATCAAAGCCCATCTTGAATCTACAGGCACCCTTCCAACAACACATTGAACACAAGTAATGTCGAGGACCATCATGAATCCTAGTTTTGAATAATAATTGTTGTTTAATGAATCACAACATTCTATCTCACAGGGCTTGATGGCAGCAAATATAATAATGGTCGGCTCAGCCAACTGTAGGGACAAAGTAGCTGGCACACGGACAACAATGATATGATGGAAGTGTCCAAAAAATGTTTTCTGCTCGTAGAGTGGAGTGTGTTTGTGTTGGTGAGCGTATTGATCAACCAGTGCCTCAAACTGAAAAAATTATTCATGCTAAATTTGACGGAATGAAAGAGCATTTACCCTCACAAATGTTGCATCCCGCATATCACCACAAGCTTTCATGAGGGCCGCTGCAACCATTGTTCAACATGCTGTGCTAAGTAAAGCCGTCCTAGAACCGCCACTGTTGTATCAAAGTGTGTTGCCATAGCTGCCAGGACTTTCTTCCATAGAAACAAATCCAGCTGACCTTTGTGGCACGGCGATAACAAGACGCAAGAAGGATCTACAAGTAAATCAAAGTTCTGCTATGGAGTACCATTGAATGACTTACACTGTGGATGGCTGAACTGACCAGAATCTCCAGGTGGTTTTCGCAGTGATAGTTCTTCTGCAATGTTGTAGATCAGCGCAATGTGTGTAAGCCAGGCATCGTTGATTAGGTATTGAGCTATACATGTATATGGATGTCGTCAGCTTTTGATTGCTGGTTGTAGTCATCCACAAAAGTGTTCCATGGGAAAGGCCCACAATGTCCAAACAGGGCCCGTAGCTTCAATGCTGTTGACAACATGAAGTAGTGCGTGGACTGTAAGGGTACATGTACTCAGGTGCTGGACAGAATATTGATAGTAGTACCTAATTTAGAAAACTTAACATAGTGTTAATAGAGGCATATAGACCATACATTTCAAATTTCTTGACCCAGTCGATAAATTTAGCTTGTAGTGTTTGAATATCCTGTGAGGAAAGTTCGAATTGCAGGCAAGTATGAAGTAGCTTGACGAGATTGACAAAATGGTTAAAATACTTTTGATTCTGGAGGGTCCGACATAAAAGGATGGGACCCAAGTAGAGTGTCCAGAAGGACCACAAGTCGGCTGTGCAACTAGAATGGTCATGGATGAAATCTGGCGGATGGGCAGAATATGCTGAAGGAATTGTTGCCCCTGATTTTGCAGTTGTTTTGCCTATGGCCTCCCATATCTGTTTTTCTATGTGGTAAACCTGGTTTCCTTCATCTAGTCCCTTGTATTCACCAGTCCACAGATGTATTGTGACAACACCAACAAGACACAGTCTTGGGGCACTGGAGCACAATGAAAACAACACTCAAAAGAGGAGGAAGAGGTGGGAGTGGTTACCCATTAGGTTTTGACAAGTTAGTTGTTGGTAGACAACAGGAGGACTCACTGAGTCCCTCCCCATGTATTGCTCCTGTATATATACTAAAATACATGAGGTACTGTACAGTTGTAAATAAAGTTTAAAGTCCGATGTCTAGCATGTGACCGGTCACATGCTAAGTCTAGACACTGGTCAGGTGTTGTGTCACATGACTTGGTCATGTGACTATGAAAAGTCGGAAATGTAAAGTAAAGTAAATGGTCACATGACTGGTCATGTGACTTGGAAAAATAAAAGTAAAAGTACGAAAAAGGTGAAGTGTAAGTAGGTACTGGTATGTTAATTGTAACATGTATCAGGTTGGGTATGATGTTTTCCCATATAAGGTGCATGTAATTGTATGGGAAAGAGTTTGGAAAGGATACAGATGGAAGATATCCAAGAATTGACAAACCTTTGACACCGTATTGTTTCAATAGACGCTCAGATTCAGCGGCTGTACGTGCTAACTGAACTTCTCGTCCCTGGGCAAATATCTCCTTGTGCGTTTGTAGGGGGAGTTCAGTCAGATGGTACCTTTGAATGGATGGAGACCCATTTGCATCTAGATGGTTGTGGCGATTGAGAAGAACATAGTAGGCTTTTCCTTGAGAACCTGGTAATCGAACACCAAGAATCTTGCAAGCACGGCATGGAGAGAAGCCGTTGTGCCCTATCATCTTCATGACCACGGAAAATGTTGGAATATCTCCTGATATTATTAGCAAATACGATAATAAATCTAAGTGAAACTCAGCCGCTGCATGAGAGGCTATAAAAATGACTTATTATTTACCTAAGTGAAACTACAACAGATGTTAGTTTAAGGTGATCTCAAATAAATGTAATGTAACATACCTCAGCCGCTGCCCGAGAGGCTATAGAAACAACTGAGGTATTCCTATATATTAGGAAAAATGGGGGTAGCTTTATAGAGCTCTATAGCACTATGAGTACTCATAAAGCTGTTATAGTGGTCAAACCTGTTATAGAACCTCTTCCATCTATAGAGCCTTATATAGCTCTATAAATGCTCTTATAGATGTTGGAAATTGTTGTGTGGCTGATAAAAAAAAATTAACACAAACAGGATTTGAACTCTCAACCTGCTAATCAGCTCTTGGGTGACTAAGCAACCTATAGCCACACATCACATTTATCCACTACACCATGAAAGCTTATAAAATGTATCATACAGGTGTTATATATTGACTTTTCATGGACTTAGATTATTTTTTTACTCATTGTCACTACTTATATTTGGATAAATCATTATTCTTATTTTGTGAGTATCCGGGATACAAACTACTATTTCACTAATACAAGCTATATAATTAATTAATACTGTATGATTTAGTAACCCTTTTAAGCACCTTGAACTATATTGTAACTATGACCTTCACAGCTATAGGAGCTATGTAGGCTGCTATAGGCTATAATAGCCCTTATAGTACCTTGCCTATAATAATATACTTGACTCCAAACACTTCTGGCATCTTTCTATTATTGAACAAGTTTATGTTACGATACCACAATTTTTGGACTTTCCCTTTACTTTTATTCTCCGCTTTAACCTTGTACTATAGCTTTCACACATGGTGCCACGCGGCACTTCCCCTTTCTCGCGCCGTGTTGCCTTTCCTCTTATTTTGGACACAACTCTCTCACACAGTGGAGCTGGCCATGCGGGCTAGGCTCCATGACATCATCAGCCACTATCTGTATCAACTGTATAGTACACATGTACAAACAACCCTGTAGTAGTATATAAACCCCAATAGATCCAGGAGACTCCTCAGCGAGTCCTCCTGTTGTATACCAACAAACTCTCTGCAGCTCAAAGGGTAACCACTCCCACATCATCTTCTCTATAGTGTGTGTTCTGTGTGCGCCAGAGTAACTAACTCTTGGTTGTTACAGTTTATTAGATTAATCCAGAGTTTGAGGGAACTATAGATACTTCTCCCCTTGGTTAAAATTTTGCCTACTACTATGCTATAAGAGCTATAAGAGCTATGATTGCACTGATAGTACTATAGTTTCTATGAATGCATTTATATATATAGGTGGTGGCTATATAGCGCTATATAGCAAAAGGGTTTTTCCTGATGTACTAAACCCCCTACTACTTATAGTCGGAGGTGCTACTTGCTACAGTATAATAACTCCTAGGAGAACAATGGTGACTTCATGGAGTGGTGGCTATGCTCCATGAAGAACAATGGCTGCTTTAGCAGAGACCAGGTTTATCCAATTTTGTCATACGCGTGAAGGGCAAATATAGTTGCAGCAATGATGTCAAAAGCGCAAACCCCAGCAGCTAGTTGAAGAAGCTCCTCAACCAAAAGCCATATAAATGAGTCAGAATCTTTGGGTTTTGATGGTCCAGGTATAATTCCTAAGCAGATAATGAATTCCTTGAGAAACTGTATGTCCAAAGGGAGAATGAAGTTGTATAGAATGATGGGCCAGGTTGTTGACTTTTCACGGCAAAAAGGAGCAAATTCATCTGTGGCTAGCCCTAAGGCAATGTCTCAAGGATCTGAAAAGTAGCAGTGAGGTAATGTATTCCCGCCTATAGTCACTTTCTTGTTCAACAACCCTCGGTATACAGAACTGTCTATCATGTTGCTAATAAATCCGGGTTTATGAGCATGCTCTTTTGCTCAATAGTTCATCTTATACACCAAATTAGGATCCTTGAAGAAACCAACCAACCGAGAAATCAAGGGAATATAGATGAAATGTTTCCTCAGTCGTCTCTCTAAGTAGCGTGACATATTGCAGTGAGGACACTTGTCGAGCGAGGAGTTTGGCCCAACAAAACAGTAACAGGAATTGACACAACAGTCATACAATACTGGTTCAAATCCTGAAAGGAAGGCCACTCATTGTGTACTTCCCTTCCAACTCGGGAATGGTTCAGATGTAAATACGGATGGCAGTTTATTGAAGGTGTTGTTGTTCATGCGGGATCTGACTTTGAGTGCAAAGGCGTGCAGGATTTGCAGATCCGTATCACTTAACTCATCAGCTAACATTCAAATCATCAGTGTTTGAACTCAATCTTAAACTTGATCAGCAATGCTCACTGGCAGCACAGATTTCCTGTTCCCAGCTCAGCTCTAGCTCTTCCCAGAAGGGCAGTCCCGACAACCCTGTATCTGATTCACTTGCTGATTCCGTGGATTCATCCTTGCTATCACTACTAGCAGCCACAGTATTGTGGTAATAGGCCACTGGTATTGTACTGAGATCACAGACAGCATCCAATAGTACCAATTCAACCATATTCAGAGGAAGCTCATTCTGATCATCAACATTTCCTTCCCACCCTATGTTTTTGATCATTGCAGAATCATCATTGTGAGCATTGGCTGATACTGTGGTTGGATTTTTCTGCGACTTTGTTTCTGCGCTACCAAGATGTTGTCTCTGCCATGGAGATGATGATTTGATCCTAAGAGGCACTTGGTGTAATGCACAGTGATGATACTCTGTTTGTGCACTAACTAATTGTCCACAGCAGATACATAGTTTCTTTGCTATACGCTGGCTAGCCATATCAATTGAAATAAGTCTGAAATGTATAATGTGAGTCACACCCCCTGTAAGCGAGTCAGCTAGAAAGACAAACAATAAACTCACTATGAACTTCTTGCACAGTACTATTGCCAGCTTCAATGAACACAATACATGTCTGCTTGGTACAATCACGGTGAATGATGAAAAGAGGCCAGGTAGAAGTCAAGCCAAAGAGTGTCAATGGACAGCAAACAAAAAACACCTAGTCACAGTAGGAATACCAGCATACTAGCAACAAATGACCGACTTACCAAGTTTCTATGTTGAGTCCAAAGTTAGCCAATTCATAGTCATCATACATTTGCTGCACTGACCTGCATTTTGCTCCATAAGATAGGTATTTCATTACCCATTATCTGCACACTTGATGCCAGCATTAGAATCTACCACTGATCCTATTTGATGATGACTGAGTCAACAACAGCAATGTTGGCAAGAAGGCAGGCAGGCTCAGAGCCTGTGTTGAGAGGTAGGGCAACAAAGGTCACAAATGTCACCAAGCAAGTCTTACAGGATAAGAATACGGAGCTTGAACAGGAACTGACTAGACTTAAAGGTGCATTCATCAGTTATGGTTTTTGTGGGTCACTACAGGTTGGGCACACCAAATTTATTCGTAGGAGAACTCTCAAAGGCAAATGAAGCTTGAATAAATGCAGAAAAGGCTAGATTGGATGCTGAGAAATCAGCTGAAGAGGCTACTTCAAGAATGTCAGAAAATGAACGCAGAAACAGTCCAGTTGGTGCAGTGCCACATACTATTCTGAAACCAAGGGCTTCTGAGTTGTACACAGGCAAAGACAGACTAAGGAGGGCTATGGGTTGGACAGACAATAAGAAGAAGCATCTGTGTATCCAGGTATGTATATCATTTCTCTTATGTCCATCCCACTGACTCGGATAAAAACGTACTTCTCAGCGGTTTTGTCTTGCGAACTTGGAATGGACGGCAGTCGACCATCCGGGATTTAGTACACTAGCTATGTATCAATACGTGGGCTGATTTTTGAAGTCAACCTGCAAAAGAACTAGGAGATTTATTTAGACTGGTAAGTTAATGCAATCATAGGCAGAATAATTTACAGACAGATATTGTTGTAGGCAAGATGCTACCACCCCTATTTGGTGCGCTTTCAGAATGACTGGGCTACCTCAGAATTGATCAAACAATACCTCAGTAACCACTGGAAGAGCAAGTCACGCGAGGAGAGGAAAAGGGTGGCCAGCACTTCACCACCAGATATTGATCACCTTGAGCGTGAAGGGGAGCAGGAACAGGAGCAAGAGCAACCACAAGATGGGGCAAATACCAGGAATATTGATGAGAATCGGGAATAGAAATGCTTATTTTTTTTCACTTGATAATGCAATGTATATTACTATCTCCACTACATAATAGCAATGCATCGGTATATTTTGATAATTCATTGATCACTACTAAAAGAAAAACAGAAAAAATAGCCATGCAATAAAAATTAGTTCAAAAAATGGCCTGAAATAGGTGAATAAACAAGGTTTAGCTTTTGGTAATGTCGTACTGGAAGAGAGTCCCATCCCAGTGAAAAAATATTCCTGGGGTTTGGCAGCAACTATGGACGTTATCTTCAAATCAAGGAAGAGAGCACGGCATAGCTTCGCAGCCTCTAATGAGATTTATGTCTGTAGAAATAAACACAATGTTCTAAGGTAGTGTTTTAGCTATGAGTTAAAATCATAATGTAAAATGTTCTTACCTCAGTTTTTGCAATAACAGACTGAGGTGTAAGTAAAATGTGTCTTGAAAAATAAGAATGTATCGGAAAAGTCCGAAGCTAAATATGGTAAGTAATTCATGCACGAGACGCTGTGCGTGTGGCTCAATAATGTAGGCTTGTGTACTGCAACTCTACAACACACCCCCTTGAGCTATATACACACCTAGTAAGTGGTTTAGTTTTTCTAGCCGGGGTCTTGCTAACAGCTTCGTGAGTATGTCTGCTGGCATGTCTTCTGTAGGTATGTACAATATTTTCTTGGATGAAGTGGTAGCGAATGTCTATGTGTTTGGTTCGAGAGTGATGGACATTGTTCTTGGTAAGTGCGATTGCCCCTTGGTTGTCAGCGAGGATCTTGATGGGTTCTTTGGTTGTCTTTCCAGTGATATCTTGTATCAAGGCTGATAGCCAGATGGTTTTTTTGGTCGCATTGGTCAGTCCTATGTATTCAGCTTCCATGCTTGATAACGTGACTATGGGTTGTTTTCTAGCGTTCCAAGAGATGGTGCCGTCGTTGTACATGAATGCATATCCGGACATTGAGTGACGGTGAGGTTGTGTTCCCCAATTGCTGTCAGAATATCCTACAAGTCCGTTGTTGGTTCCTCCCAAGATAAGTCTATAGGTTTTAGTCCCCTTAATGTATCTTAGGACCCTTTTTAGGGCTGTCCAATGAGTCAGACCTGGGTGTTGGATGAATTGTGAGAGTATTAATACGGAGAAGGATAGGTCTGGGCGTGTACCTAGCATAAGGTACATTATTTTTCCTATAGCTTCCCTGTAAGGTACATTGATCATCTCGTTCCGTTGAGTTTTGGTTGTAGGGGATTGATCTGTTGATAGGACGGTACCGTGTTCTATGGGTGTGAGGACGGGTTTGCAGTTGTCCATGGTGAAGATCTTTAGCATCAAATCAATGTACACTTATTGGCCAAGGGTGACAGTGCATTTGCCTCTGTTTCGGATGATTTCAAAGCCTAACAACCAATTGATTTCACCTAGGTCGGATAGTATTCAGAGTGTAAGTCGTTCTTGAATTTCTCTATATCCATTGCTGATTGGCAGGTTATTACCATATCATTGACAGATACTCTGACAACCATACTATGTGGTTGTACATGTCTGGTGTAGGCAGCATGGTCGTGTTCGGATCTTGTGAATCCGATGCAAGCAAACATTTTGGTGAGTTTTTCGTACCATCCAAGTCCAGCTTGCTTAAGTCCGTATATTCCCTTGTTTAGTTTACAGACCATCCCTTGTTGATCTTGGTTCAAGTATCCAGGAGGCGCGTACATGTAGATTTCCTCCTCAAGGTTGGCGTTAAGGTAGGTGCTTTTTATATCAACTTGGTGGATTTCCCAGTCTATTGATGCTGCATGTGATAGGATTATTCGATGGGACGTGAGGCGTGCTACAGCCAAGTATGTTTCGAGGTAATCCATCCCGTACTTTTGGCTATTGCTGTTTGCAACTAATCTTACTTTGTATTTGGATATAGCACCGTTTGTGTCTCGTTTTATCTTGGTATCAAAGTGACATCTTATGATGTTCACTTGTTTTGGTGGGTAGACAAGGTCCCAGGTGCGTACATGTTCGAGTTGCTTGAGCTCATCGTTCATCGCTGATCTCCATTTGTTGCTATCAGGCCCTTTTAATGCCATATAGAGGGGTGGGCTGTCGTTGTCAGGGGCAATCCGGCAATCAGAGCGGTTAACTGATTGACATATCCTTCTTGATTCCCATCAAAAAGGGCTGTCCGTGGATTGTGTTTCCCTCGTGTAGATTTTTGAAGAATCCGGGTGTCTTTTGTGCGGTTTCACATCTGGGCCTTTCATTTGATGGGGGGTGATGATCTGTGTTGACAGGTGCGTGTTTGTCTTGTGGTCGACTTACTGACGAGGTTTCTTTCTTTAAGCCATCATCATTGTCCTTGGAGATGGGGATGTTCGTTTTGTTGTTGACAATTGGCAGGTTGGGAATAGAGTTGAGAGGTTTCTGGTAGGTGTCTTTGGTATCTGGTTTGAATATGATGTTCCGTTCAACACTGACCGTGCATTTTTCTGGCATATAAATTCGATAGCCTTTGCTTTCTGTGTTAAAACCTACAAAATGTCCTTTGTTTGCTCTGGAGTCGGGTTTCCCTGCATTTTGCATTTGTACGAATACGCGGCAGCCAAATGGATGAATATCAGATAGGTTTGGTTTGGTTTTATTCACCATTTCATAGGGTGTTTTATTTTCCAGTGCACGGGTAGGTGATCTGTTCTTGATCCATACAGCATGCTTTACAGCTTCGCTCCATAGGAATTTAGGAAATTTGCTGTTGACCAGCATAGCATGAGAGAGTTTGATTATAGTCCGATTGAGTCTTTTGAACACGCCATTCTGCTGCAGAGAGTTGTGTATGGTTAATTCTCGAGTGGTACCCCAAGACTTCAGGTGAGCATCAAATGCTTCACTTCTATATTCACCCCCTCGATCTGACCTGAGTACTTTGATTTTAGCACTGTTTTTCTGGGTTTCAAGCCAGGCTTCAAAATCAATGTACGCTGCAAGCGTGCAGTTTTTATTTTGCAACATAAAGACATGGCTTTCTCGTGAGAAGTCGTCCATTAGGGTGAGTACATACTTCTTCCCTGTTATGTCTTCAACTGATGCAGGTCCCCACAGGTCAGAGTGGATTCAGTGGCCGTATTTTGTTGCGCGCATATAAGATTCTTTGGGGAAAGGGATACAATGTGCTTTGGCCTTAATGCAGGCATTGCAGAACATTGTGTCAACACTTCTGTCAAGGATTATTCCTTCAGCCATACCAGAGGATATTAGGTGTTTGGCAGCTGAATGTCCTATATGACCCATTGCTCTGTGGAGCTGATTAACCGTCATAGTGACTACACTAGTTTTATTTGCTGCTAACATTTTGTTTGATAGAGTTTCATTCACTTGGTATAGTCCCTTTATCGCTGGGAAACAAGCTATGATATGGTGTTTTGGCTTGGGTGAGAGGATCTGACATAGGCCTCCTTCTATGTGGATTGCATATCCGGCCTTGCCCATACAGCTCGCGGATATTAGCGTGGAAGACATTTCAGGTGCATATATCACATCTTTTAATGTGATGATAGTGCTCTTTGTTCCGTTTGGCAGACATATTACTATATTGCCCTGACCTATAGCTTTTAAGGGTGAACCTCCAGCTGCTCGAATAGGTTCTGAGTGTATCATTTTGAAGCTGGTGAATAGGTCTTTGAACGGGCAAAAGTGGTGATTGGCTCTGCAATCAACTATGGCAGGGTATTTTCTGTTTTTTTTTCTGCTTTGCTGCATGCCTGAAAGGCATACATCTTGTCGTCCGAATCATCTTTGGTGGCTTGAGCAGCTACCTTGGACGAGTTGTCATCTTTAGTGTTATCTGACTTCTCTTTAGCCTTTCCCTTGTCACGCGGTCTCTTTGGCTTTTTGCAATCACGGGCAGAATGACCCATACCGTTGCAATTGAAACATTTGACATTACATTTGCTTTTCTTGTCTTTAGCCTTGGCTACAAGTGCAGCGCCTGCGTCGCGTTTCTTCATGACATCTTGATGGTCGGCTTCCTCTAACACCTGGTTTATTAGGTCTTCTGGTAGGAGTGGTACTTTGCTAGTACGTGCCAAAGCAATCATCGATACTAGTGCTGGTCTGTAGGACTCTGGGAACGACGACATCAAAATGGCTGAAAATTCTTTATCTTTGATTAGGCCTCCTATGACCGCCATTTCCACCCTGAGTTTCAGCATTTGTGAGATGTGGGCTCGTACATCATCTTACTTGTCGCATCGCATATCCTGGATCTTTCGGCGGATGTCCATCTGCACTATCTCGGTTTTATCCTCGTAAAAACCACATAGTTGTGACCATAGGCCAGCTGCGCTTGTGGCTTTTCTTGTTGACAGTGCTTTCACATAGGTGAGGTCTGGGATTGTAGTGATCAATAGTCAAAGTACAGTGCCTTCTGACTGTCAGTAAGTTTTGATTTCTTTCTTGAAATCCTTGATGTCTGCCTTTGTGGCAGTTGTGTCATCTTCGGTCTTTATTGTGTATTGCCCAGTGGTGTTTTTCTTCAGGGTGTCCGGGAATTCTGCAGTACCATTCAGAAATTCCCATAGCCTTCAAGATTCTATTTCAGCTAAGAACAACATCTTGCAGGACACCCAGTTAGATCCCTTTATATCCAGTTTAAGGAGTCCTGGTGCATAGGCTGATCCAGTTACAAGAGACATGTTTTCATCACTGGCAGGGCTCATAACCTAATGAGATTTATGTCTGTAGAAATAAACACAATGTTCTAAGGTAGTGTTTTAGCTATGAGTTAAAATCATAATGTAAGATGTTCTTAGTTCAGTTTTTGCAATAACAGACTGAGGTGTAAGTAAAATGTGTCTCGAACAATAAGAATGTATCAGAAAAGTCCGAAGCTAAATATAGTAAGTAATTCATGCACGAGACACTGTGCATGTGGCTCAATAAGGTAGGCTTGTGTGCTGCAACTCTACAACAGCCTCTTCATCTAGGTTCCAACCATCCCTTTGTAGGACTTCAAAC